AGATGAATATGCCATGTTAATAAAGGTACTGCCCCATGGCAGAGCATAAATAAGGAATATGTGTTAACTTAAAACGTAAAAGCTTGTTAGCAATAATCCTGATCTATTGGCGGAGCATTTACAATTAATATAAGCCACAGAGTGGTTATTTGGAAGTGGCTGCTGGGAAGGGAAAATTCCACCTACAGGTGAATTGCCCCCCACTCCTAGTCTCTGCACATCTCCTCCTACTCCTTGCAACTGTCCACATCCAAATACTGTTTTCCTTGGTGCTCAGGTTTCTGAGGTAATTTTAACTGAGTGGTTGACCTTATAATCCACAGCTAAATGTGCCTGATAGTGCTGTGCTCATTTGAATTCCAGTGTCAATATTTATTCTTTCTCTGTACTACTAGAACTATGGTTGTTATAGCAGTGTCAGTGTAGGAGGTGAGCATTTAGCAGAAGAGGCCAAACTTACTTTGCATATAGGAAACAATGTATAAAGTGAAAAATAACACAAGTTCAAGTCATGTTAGGAAAATCAAAAAGAATTTGAGTTGGATGGATTGAGAAGACAGTTGAGCTGAGAGTACAGCAGACAGAATGTGGCAGGCAGACAAATATGCAGGAACCAAGATTCTGAAAGAGGATGACCAGGCATATGTTATGGACATAATCTTCTCTCTAGTTCTTAACTCATAACTGGCTAGGGTGCACAGAATATGCTAGCAATGTGAGCTTTTGCCACTAAGATCAAAACCAAACAAAATCCAGGAGGAAATGTTCTTATAAGGACAGGTTAATTTTGGCCCATGAGTTCCAACGCTTTAGTTCCATAGATGCAACACCTCACTGCTTTAGATGAAGATGACAATCAAGCAGCTGTTCACCTTATGCTGTTCAGGTCCCAATCTGCCTTTCAAGGCCACACCCCCTGATGACTTACATTCTTTTCACAAGGCTCCACATTTCAAAGGTCCTATCATCAACCAATAGAACCATGAATAGGACCAAGCTTTTAACATATTTACTGTAGAGGTCATTTGAAATCCAAATTATAGTAGGTGGGGAGAAAGATAAGAAGAGACTGGAGGCTCATGTTCTTGTCCTCCAAAAGGTGGCAGTTGTGACCTGTCAACTTGACTGGATTTAGAATCGCCTAAGGAATATAATTCTAGGCATGTGTGTGTCAGTTAGGACAAGACCCACTATCTCAGTTCTCTTGCTGTGAGGAGAAAACATTTAATTGGGGTGGTGGTTTACAGTTCAGAGGTTCAGTTCATTATCATCATGGCTGGGAGTACAGTGGAATTCACCCCCACGTTGACACACTTCCTCCAACAAGGGTACACCTACATCAACAAGGGCACATCTTCTAATAGCGCCATTCCCTTTAGGGGTCATTTTCTTTCAAACACCACACCTACCATTAACATAGGCTGAGTCTCCAGACTGCATTAAAAACTAAAAACAAAACCAGGGAAGGAGTATGGTGTGCAACAATGCTCATCCCTGCTTCTTCACTGTACATGCCTTTCCCACTGTAACGGACAAAGTATACCCTTCCGCGAGGACTTTTGTCAAGTATTTGATTATACATTGTTGTATATTAATACTGTGTAAAATTATTTTTATATTCTTGTCTTAATTTGTAAATTGTCACAAACTTGAAATTATATTTGTCATATCGTGTAGGCCCCTCTATTTGTTTATAATGTTTTGCACACTAATGTAAACTTATTTTTGTCACATTATATGTTTCTATGTATACTTAAGATATTTTGTATATTGATACATTTTAAGGAATTTTTGTCATATTGCACTATACAGTTCTACCTCTGATCATATATATACACACACATGTACATATACCCATTTACAATTTCGAGGTATTTGTCCTCATGCTGTACATCTGTTTAAAGAGTATTTTTATATGTGAAGCTTCAGTCAGTAAGTGATGTTATTGAGAATTACAGGCTAAAGTCATCCATGCTTTTCATACCTAGTTATGTCAGTTAGGTTCTCTAGATAGAGAGATGTACTCGGCATAGATAGTTGATCTTCAACCACTACAAAGACCTTCAATATTTTAGTAATTTAGAACTCTGTTGGCATGAGATATGACTGCTCATGGCAGCACCGAGTTATTCCTGAGAGAATGCTGGGCACCAGAGACACTCCATTTGGAGTTTGTTTTCTTCTTGGCAAAATTGGCCTATTGGGTAAAAAGATTTCCCTTGCTTCACCTGCTGATAGTAAGCACACTGTCCAAACTGACAAGCACACTACAAATATAAGCGACTGCTGAACCTTGCCAAGACAAGGTAGGATAATCTTTCAAAAATGTCTGTCAGACATCCTAGGCCTTAGCCAAAGTTGGTTGCCCAACATTACTGTGAGACCTTGGGTGACTGTTCAGGTAGCCAGCTGTTTCTATCATTTCTTGCACTTTTAGGAAGTAGCCCATTTGCATTTCCTGCCTACCCAGTTAATACTATTTTCCTACTCAGGTCTTTGATGAGCTTGCAGACAGTCACAATTAATATACTCTCATATCTTAGCTAAGACTTTTAGATAAAAGACTCAGACCCCTCAGAATAGGACAGCTGTTGGAATAATCTGTATTTTTCCAAATTACCTATAACCTGGACATTTAGTATGTCTCTTGCTTGATGTTGCTCTTGCTGATTCTAGGTCCAAATTTGTATATATTTTTACCTTTATTTCTCCTGGACAACATAGTTTTTTTGTTTTGCTTTTGAGACAGGGTTTCCCTGTGTATATAGCTTGTATATAGTTTTTATATCAGGTTTAAAACCCTCTTATTTAGACAAAAGGGGTAAATGTAGTGGGAATTCATTCTGCCAATATTTTGAGGTACCAGTCTTAGGATATGGCTTCTGTATATGCATGTGATCCCTTATAAGGAAGAGGAGGGGTCTCTCTCTCAAGTGGTGGTCTGAGACCTAACTGCACCTCCAGGAGCATAAGACCACATTGTGGTGTGAACGTTCCCTGAATAAATATTTGATATTCTTTCATTCGGGCATTCTTGGACTTCCTTAATTTGCCCATAAGGGTACTTAAGGGGTTGGTGAAATGACTTGTTTCCAGCACCTGTATAGGGAGGATTACACCCACCTCTAATTCTAGCTCCAGGGAATCCAATACTCTCGTCTGGATTCCACAGGCACCTGTACTCTTGTGCATATATTTACACATATATACACATAACTACAAAAATAAATCTTTTGTTTTGGAGGCTGTCGGACCAACCTGGCCTCGAGCTCACAGAGATCCCCCTGCCTCTGCCCCCAAGTGCTGGGATTAAAGGCGTGTGCCACTACCGCCTGGCTCAAAATTAAATCTTAAAAGGGTGGGTGGAGCAAACTTACATAGCATGATCAAATCTGGATTTAAAAAGCACATAAAGTTGTTTTGCCTTTTTTGTTTTTCGAGACAGGGTTTCTCTGTATTGTTTTGGAGGCTGTCCTGGAACTCACTCCATAGACCGGGCTGGCCTCGAACTCAGAGATCCGCCTGCTTCTGCCTCCCGAGTGCTGGGATTAAAGGCGTATACCAATAACGCCCGGCTTTGTTTTGTCTTATTGTAGTTTATTTTGTTAAAGAAAAAAAAAAGCCCATACTATCTCCATACACTCTGTTCCTTTAAGAGCCTAGTAAGTGTGGTGTACCATCTAGTCATCTTGATAACAAGCTGTCAGCAACTCAACAATCAAAAAAAAAAAAAAAAAAAAAAAAGGAACCAACTAAGGAATCCATGAATGTATGTGCAGGTCACTGAAATTTCAAGGTCAGTTTTCATACATTCTCTCATTTCCCTTCGGAAACACTTCCAGAAAACTAATTCCTAGGAAATGGAATTTGAATCTCTGTAAATGTACCCTGGAAGGTTTACTTGTTTTCTGAGATACCATGGAGTCAAATCTGGAGACAAAATTATCTTGGGTCTTGTGATCTCTGAGAATAAATACAACTGGGTACTTCATATGACCTTTACCTAATTTTAATAAACAGGATGCTTTACCTGTAAAGTCACAACTCAGCATACCCTAGGTACCTAACTTTTCCCATAGAGAGTATGTTAGTTAGTGCTTTGTAAAAATTACTATAAGACATAGTACTTAAACAACAAACATTTATGATCTCTGTTTCTGTGGCTTTGCTGGGTAATTTTAACTCAGCAAAGGTTGCAGTCACCTAAGATGTCCTTGGTACTGGAGGACCTGCTTCCAGGGTGGTTCTCTAACATATCAGTTGGCAGGTACCCTGTTTCTGACCTCTCCATCATCTCCATGGAACTGCCTTGGTAGCCTCAAATTTCAACAGGTGGCTTGCCTCAAAGTGAGTAACTGGGGAAGGACAGGAAAGAGCAATGCCTTTTAATACCCCCTCGTGTCTTTATTCATTTGATGTCTCAGATTTCGGGTACTCAGGGAGGAAACTGAAGCTCCATGTCTTCAAGAGGAATGTATCGAAAAACATGTGTAGACATTTAAAACCACTGCTAGCAAGAGCATTAGCTTTCATTTGCTATAATGCACCAGGGCCTACTGCACTACTTCCTTTTCCTTCCTTTTTTCTCTCTCCCACACCAAATAACTACCCCACCTCCAAATGTGTACTCATATTTCTTTCTTTCCTACAAGAGGCCAATTCAAGGTAAAATAATATTTAGGGTTCTATCTCTACCCAAAAATTGTAACATGTCTGCAATATGTATATACATATATATATATATATAATACACACACATAATAATAGTCTTTACTATTATTGTTGTTTCCACCTAGTGGATGAAAATGTTATGAAAGGGGATTGAAAAAATAAAGTTTACTTCAAAGCTAGAGAAATGGCTCAGTAGGTAAAAGTGCTTGACAACCTCAGTTTGATCCCAGGAACCCATATGTTAGAAGTAGAGAACCAACTCCTGCAAGTTGTCTTCTGACTACAACAGGTATGGCTCCCTCCAACACCAAAGAACAGACAAATAAATGTAAATAATAAAAAATTTTAAATGTTTACTTCAGGCTGGAAAACTGGCTCAGAGGTTAAGAGTATGTCCGCTAGTGGCCACTTTCTCTAGGCAGGTCCCATTTCCTAAAGTTCCAAACGCCCCAAACAGGAACAGTAGTTAGAGACCAAATATTCCAACAAAAAGCCCTATGGGCACATTTCACGACTTCCAAATTTTCTGACCCTGAGATGACAAGACAGTGAACTTAGATCAGGATAACAGTGCAAGAGGTATAAAATTAACAAGGGAAGCCTGGCAATAAACAGCTTGTTTAATCACTATACCAGGACTTTTACATGAGATTTTGCCTCTGCAATTCTTTAAAATGGTTCTTCTCTTAAGACAAAGTAGTGTATAAATCCACAGTGATTCTACCTAGACCCTAGAAGGAAAAAAAAAAAAAAAAAAAAGCGCCAGAATTCAGGGAGGACAAGGGAGATAGCTCACAGATTATAGCACTGGCTGCTCTTATAGGGGGATCCAGTGGCTCCCAGCACCCACATGGTGACTTACAATCACACTTAGCATCACTCCAGGGGATCCAACGCCTTCTTCTGGTGTCTGTAGGTACCAAGCATGCATATGGTGTAAACATGTAGGCAAAATACTCACATAAAATCAAACTTTAAAAACCTTGGCTGGGCGTTGGTGGCACACGCCTTTAATCGCAACACTCAGGAGGCAGATGCAGGCAGATCTCTGTGAGTTCGAGGTCAGCCTGGTCTATAGAGTGAGTGCCAGGATAGGATCCAAAGCTACACAGAGAAACCCTGTCTTGAAAAACCCCCACCCCACCCCACCCAAAAAATTAAAAACCTTAAAAAAAATCAAAACTAACAACAAAAATAACACACCCAGGGAAAGGAAACGGATCTTGCATAGAGGTGTTCTTCTAAAATCCATAACTACATAGTAGCTTTGGAGAATGTACAGAATACTCTGGTCAAAAGTGTGACAAATAGCTAGGTGTGGTAGAGCATGCCTGTAATCTGAACACTAAAGGCAGATGGCCTCTGAGTTTGAGTCCAGACTAGTCTACATTGTAAGTTCCAAGCCAGCTAAGGCTACACAGCAAGACCTGTCTCCAAAAAAAACAAGAAAAGTATAAGAAAAAATTTTCACCTCAGTATCTACAACAGTCACTATGAAAAATGTTTTCATTGTACTGTATAAGAACTTTCCAGAACCTAGCAATTTGTCCCTCCTCTCACCTTCAGAGCGTGATTGTCCCACAGAGATAACAAAAGACCAGAAGAACAGAAGGCAGGAAGGTACAGAATGCTACTATGAGTAATGTTTTCCTATCAAATCATGTATTTACACATGTGCACAAATTTCTAGGTTCTTCCACCACCCGGAAAACATTTCCTTTGTTTTTAGGCTGAATCTGCAAAGATGCCCAAATCACTAGGTAATAGCATCCTTACATAAATAGAAACAATGAGAACCTAGAATAGTTACTAAACATGGAATAGTATTAGGTTGCTAGCAAATAGCTTAACACACTGCTTCTTGCTTCAAATTGTAAGAATTTAAATGTGAAAGTTATTCATTTCTGATGAAAATTCTGGAATTCATTACAACTGAATAAAATATTTATTGTTTCTTTCCCTCTGGCATGACATCACTCAGTTTTGCTAGGTCTCCAAATGACACAGTTGCAGAACCTCTTTCAGCTGGCCTTGCCTGCAAACAATAAAAATGAAAGATATTAGATATAGATAAGCCCTGCTCAGAGTAGCCCCAGGCATGTCATGCATAATAAAATATACCCTAAGTCAATCAACAATGGAAAACAAACAGAAACACAAACCCTCTAAGAAATTGATGGCTTAATAACGTTACCTGAGAATCATGGTATTTCCATCCTATCATGTGGTAGATCTGGTATGTAGCAGGTACAGAACCATCCTCATTTCTGTACATTTCTAAAAAGACACACATAGTTAAATTCTGGAAACAACTGGGTGAGGAAAAAGTATCCACTTACTAAAAATCACCTACTTCAAAGAGAAATGGGTACTAGGTACTTTATGGAAACAAGAGCTGTTTGGAAACAGATAGAGATAGAGATCTATGTTTTGAGATAAAAAAGGACAAAGTCTGACAAAACCTTACAAGAAGGAACTAAGACTGTGGAGCAAACACCACTCAGCACAAACCCTCTGAGAGTGCAGGTACAAAGAGCGGGCGGCTCACCTCTGTAAACCGCTGCAGCTGCCAGCATCGTGTCTCGGTGCAGCAGGGGTTTTCTGTTCCAAGAACAGTTACTCTCACCCATACCTAAAAATAGACTGCAGTTTGAGATTATACTGCAAATACCCTGGCAGCTCAGTATAAAGACATGCTACAACTTATCCAACAGCACTCCTATCCTCAGTCTCATCCACCTTTGGATTACAGCAAGGCTGCTCACTGACTGGAGCAAAACTGCTTGAGGCCTCTTCGCTGTCAAGTCAGGTAAGAAATTCTCAGGAGAGAAGCCCTGGGGTGCTTCTCCCCACAACAGCCACAGTCTACAGTAAGACAGTGCAGCAAATGCCACCTAGATTCCAGATGGGTCGCAAGCACTGGCAAGTACCTTTCAAAGAAAGGTACATCTTACACTGCTTCTAGCTGTGATGCGGTGACAATGCCTCCCTCCTTCTAAGGAGCATATATAATTACAAGAGCGGAACTTGGGAGAGGGCTGTAGGACTCATCAGATATGATCAAAGCCAAGGCTTCACATTTTGTGATATTTTACTAACATTAGATTTACAAATTATGTGCTTTCCCCACAGAGGCACTTTTCTTAGCATTTTAAAATTAATCTGCAGACCTCTTCCCTTATTTTAAATTTCAAACTCCTTCTCTAGTTAATGGGAAGACGCTGTTAACTGATGATTTAATTATTATATTATGAAACTGATTCTACTAATAAACCCAATGTCCCGTATTTTGTGACTTTAATGGTCCCAATTCATAAAAATTATTAATAGCTACAAACTAGCAAGTTAATAAATGTGCTAGGTATAAATTGTAAATACACACTTACAATCCCAGCACTTAGGTAATTAATACAACCAGAAGGATCATGATTACAGGGTGATCCTTAGCTATGTGAGAACCTTTTCAAGGACACAAACAGCCTCCAACCAAAACCTAAAACATTAGGGCTAGAGAGATGACTCAGTAGTTAAGAGCACATACTGCTCTTTCACAGGATCTGAGTTCAAGTCCCAGCATCTACATAAGAGGCTCATAATTTCCAGTAATTCCAGTTTCAGAGGATCCACTGTCATCTTCTGGTCTCTATGGGTATCATATGTGTGATATACACTCAGAGGCACACACATACACATAAAATAAAAAATAAAAATAAATCTTAGAAAGTATTTTAGACCCACTATATATCCATCTTAAAAATATTCTCCCACATAGTGAATATCAATCACACAGTGACCAGAATAAACTAGGATTCACATTGTAACAGTCTATTACCAATGATGGAGACATTTAATTTCTCCTCAACTTTCCACTGCCCTGGCTTCCTTACACATCACATAAATATATACACAACACGATTGCACTACTAGACATTCTAAAATGCTGTCCAAACAATCATTACTCACATGTTATTAATAAGATTATTAGGCACATGCCACCCCTGTGGGTCTAACCCAGCGCACTTATAGAAAACTCAAGAGCACTCTACACCACTGCCTCTGTAGTTCACTCTTCCCTCTCCTTGTGAAGTACTGAAGAGAACCTGAACTCTGGGATCACAGCTTTACGTAACCTAGGAAAAGACCGATTGAGCCTATCTTAAACACAGTTTTTCATCTTTAAGATAGAATATCTTATAGTACACTCTCGGGAAGCTTTACTGACCATCTAGCAAAGATATTTATGATGGCAGACTAAACCTGAGCTTGGGATAAGACCAGCTACCAAGGAACTGTTTAAGATTCTTAGTGTTTTCTCATTTGATCTTGGTCAAGAGGCTGAGATTTCTCACAGTGTTTTTAAGGTTAAGTTCAACTGCTTATTAAAAACAAACTTATATAATATGTTACTACTAGAACAATAATGAGTATTGTCTTTAAAAAAACTGAACTTACCTTAAAACCACTGTGAAAGCCTTGAAAATTTCTTAGGTATTCATCAGCTGGTAATGCAACTTGTTAAATTAGGTCAATATTCTGGACTTTTTTTCTGTGAATTAATAATAATGGCAGCTAAAATGAGACACACCTCAACTATTTGGAAAACAAATACAACACAGATGTAGAATACAAAAGCCAGCTGGGGAGACAGCACCTTCCAGTTGACGTAACTGATTCCTGCAAGCACCCAAGCCCTTCCAACTCCCACTGCCCTTGAGCTTTTTCCCACTGAATACACAGCTGAGACTTCAGGATATGAATTAAGCTGCTGCCTACGCTAACTACAAGTTAGATAATTCCTTACATGTCTGTGCCTTAGTTTCCTCATATATCAGGACAGGTTTATCATGCTAGTTAGTCTTACCTTCCTATAAACCATGCCTTATAAGCATGCGAACAGTGCGTTTTTACTATACTCAAATCTGACTTATCTCTATGTAAAATCCTCAAGACAAACTATAAGCCTCATCTGAAGAAATCTAGAAGCTTCTGATCCTCTATCATTCCCTATCACCCAACTCTTCTATACATTTATGCAATATTATTACCTTAGTTCCTCCCAACATAAGGTTAGGATATATACCTTTTTTTATCTCCCCACCCATGATTTTATACACACTGTTCATTGTGCCACCCCTTCAAATTTTCCCTACTCTTCATCCTGCTGGACAACTCACTTAAACTTACATTCAGCTTTTTCTACAAAAGACTCCCTGACATCCTAAGGACATTTAAGGTCAAATCCCTTGTTTTTCTCTCATTTTACAGCTGAAGGTTTGTCTGTCTATCTTGGGAGTTCTTTCATCTAGAATATTAGTAACTTGTGAACAGAAACTATGTTTCTCCACCACTGGCTGAGGAGTTGGCACACAGCAAATGCTCAATAAATAGTAAATGAATAAATATAAAATCCAGCAGTTAATACTTTTGTCTAGTTTCTCAGATAGCATTTTTATACATTATCTTCATATAATTCTTAATCTACCTACAGATTAAAAAAAAAAGGCTCCACAGTAGAGGTATCTCTCTAAAGGGTAAGCATTAGGAATACTTCTTCAAAATATAAGACCTATTTAAAACCCTAGGGGACTGGCATTACCAATGGGAAGGAGCCTGACGCAACCTTCTGGGGAACCAGAAAGGTTTTAAAATTTGGTCTAGAAGGTGGTTAAAAATACAGTGACCTGCCTGAAGACCATGTATGGTGGTTTGAAGAGAATAACCCTTGAATGACAATGACCCCCATAGTCATATCATAGTGCTTGGTCCCCAGTTAGTGGAACTGTTAGGGAAGGATTAGGAGGTGTGGCCTTGTTGGAGTAGGTGTGGCTTTGTTGGAGGAAGTGTGTCACTTGGGGTAGGCTTTGACATTTCAAAAGCCCATGCCAACTCCAGTTTCTCTCCCTGCCTGTCCGCCAGCGGATTGAGATGTAAACTCAGCTCCATACCTGCCTGTCTACCACCAAATTTCCTGCCATGGTGATAATGAACCAAGCTTCTGAAACAATAGCCAAACCCCCAATCAAATGCTTTCTTTTATAATAGTTGCCTTGGTCAGGGTGTTTC